CCTGAGTAGCTGGGATTACAGGCACGCACCACCATGCCCAGCTCATTTTTTGTATTTTTAGTAGAGACGGGGTTTCACCATGTTGACCAGGATGGTCTCGATCTCTTGACCTCGTGATCCACCCGCCTCGGCCTCCCAAAGTGCTGGGATTACAGGCTTGAGCCACCGCGCCCGGCCCTCCCCTGGAACCTCTTAAAAATTTTCATTACAGAAAATTTCAAACATAAGTAAAATGAACAGAATTCTATAAGTCACCATATAAACATTACTTATCTTCAATAATTATCAGTATTCTGCCATTCCTGGCTCATCTACCTCTATCTGCTCCCTGTTCCCTTTCCAGTTATTATTATTTATAGCTCTTCAGGAAAAAATGACATATATCAAAATGTACAAATATCAGCCATACAATTTTGACAAAGTTTCTTTGTGTCTCTTCCCAGTTTCCAATCCTAGTTTCTCTTTTACTCTGGTTCCCACAGAGACAGTTCTGATTTTTTTCCCAACGTAAATTAGTTTCACCTAGTTTAGAAATTCAAATAAATGAAATTAAACAGCATGTGTCCGACTTCTTTCACTCAGCATAATGGCCTTAAGATTCATGCATGTTGGTTGCCTGTCAGTAGTTGTTGCCATTTATTGTTGCATTTTATTCCATTTTATGAATATAGGATTATTTATTCATTCACCTTTTGATAGATGTTTTCATGGCTCCAGTTTTTGGCTACTGTGAATCAAAATGCCACAAATGTTCTTTTACAACTCAATTTTGTGGATGTAGGTTTTGATTTCTCTTGGATAAACCTTAGGAGGATAACAGATCTGTTTAACTTTATAAGAAACTGCCAAACTATCTTCTAAAGTGAATTCTGGTTCCTTCACATCCTCACCAACATTTGATGTGACTGGTCTTTTTAATTTTGGTCATTCTCTTGAGAGGGTAGTATGTCACTGCGGTTTTAACTTGCATTTCTCTAATAGCTCATGTGGAAGGTTTCTATATTTATTTAAAAATAACTCTAGCAGATGTATTTAGTATAATAAAACTGTAATGCTACTTTATTAAGTGGGCAGTCCTTGCCATCAATATGAAAGCAATGCAAAATAAAAGGACCACCTAAGGAGCAACTGATACTAGGAAACAGACCTACCATTAATCTACTGTTTAGAGAGATTGCACTAAAACCCTGGCATGTATCCCACATAAGCACATGTATCATTGATCAAGGTAAAGATTTAATGGATTAACCATTACCGGCTTTGATCACAGTTGCTATCTTTTATTATTAGCTGACAGAGAACAGCTCATGCAGACAGTTGTTATTTTACGAGTTCTTGAGATAAAGAAGCAAGGAATACATTTACTAACACAGTTTTCAGATCTGAATGTTAATAAAACATGAATGTTCACTAAACACAAAAGTAACAAACTGAGGCAATCTGTATTTTAGGACGCTTTCACAAGGCTTTTATTACCATACTTTATCATTACTTTTACATTTGCTATTCAAATCACTTTGTTACATTTATGTTTTAGGTATTAAAGTGATTCTCATTACTTTCTAGTACATATGGTGGGTAGAGCAAGAAATAAAACCTACTAGAAAAACATTTAGATAAACTAAGATAAATCCCTTCCTTTTAAATATGCTTTTTTGATATGTAAAGAACTAATTGGTTCTTTGAAGAAAATTTCAAATATAAGATGCTACATATGGCCGGCACGGTGGCTCATGCCTGTAATCCCAGCACTTTGGGAGGCTGAGGCAGGTGTATCACCTGAGGTCAGGAGTTCGGGATCAGCCTGGCCAACATGGTGAAGCCCCATCTCTAATAAAAATATAAAAAATTAGCTGGGCACAGTGGCACGTGCCTGTAATCCCAGCTACCCAGGAGGCTGCGGCAGGAGAATCGCTTGAATCTGGGAGGCAGAGGCTGCAGTGAGCTGAGATTGTGCCACTGCACTCCAGCCTGGGTGACAGAGTGTAAAATTATCACACAAACATCCAGGTATTTTATGATAAACCTAAAATAATTAGCATCTACTTACCTTAAAAAATTCCCTTTTATCAATCATCTCATTACCATCTGTATCCAGCATTTTAAAAGCAACATGAAATCCAGAATGGGGTTCTGCAATAAAGTGAAAAATGTTGATGAAAGCAAGTTATTTGCAGATAGAGAGATCTTCAAATTTCACATAAACTAGCAGGAACTGTTTGAATAAGGGTCTACACAGAAAACAATGATTTCTTATAACAATTCCAAAGGCTGATATTTGGTGTTATGGCTTTGTTCCCTGTCTTCTCCAACACCCTTTCCATAGGTGCTACCGCTCTGATACTAAGTGTTCTTCCTTTCAATGCAAAATTAATTTGTGGGCTTAATTTATTTCTTTAGCTCTACTAGGGGCTTTTCTATATTCTTACAGTAACTTGGCTATTTTCAAATTAATGATTACTTTTTATTTCCCTTTTTCAGAGTACTTAAAAAACAACAACGTACTTTGCAATCATTTTAGACTTACACAAATTTTGTAAAGATAGTACAAAGAGTCCAGAGAGTCTCCATATACTCTTTGCTCAGGCTTCTCTAACTTTTTTCCCTTTTTTTTTTTTTTTTTTTTTTTTTTTTTTTTTTTTCCTTTTTTTTTTTTTTTTTTTTTTTTTTTTTAGACAGAGTCTAGCTCTGTAGCCGGGCTGGAGTGCAGTGGCACAATCTCTGCTCACTGCACCCTCTGTCTCCCAGGTTCAAGCGATTCTCCTGCCTCAGCCTCCTGAGTAGCTGGGATTACAGGCACATGCCACCATGCCCAGTTAATTTTTGTATTTTTAGTAGAGATGGGGTTTCACCATTGTTGATCAAGAAAGTCTCGATCTCCTGACCTTGTGATATGCCCACCTCAGCTTCCCAAAGTGCATGAGCCACTATGCCCGGTCAATTTCTTTTTTGAGACAGGGTCTCACTCTGTCACCGAGGTTGGAGTACAGCAGTGTGATCACAGCTTACTGCAGCTTCAACCTCCTGGGCTCAAGCAATCCTCCCACCTCAGCCCCCACAAGTAGCTGGGACTACAAGTATGCACCACCATATCTCGCCAATTTTTTTACTTTTTTGTAGAGATGAGGTTTCACCATGTTGCCCAAGTATCAAACTCTGGGCTCAAACTAAAGTGCTGGGGTGAGCCACGATGGCTGGTCTTCTAATGTTAACATGTTACACAACCATAGTACATTTATAAAGACTAAGAAATTAACATGGCATAGCATTATGAACTACACTATTAACTTTATCAAGATTTCATGTTTTTTCACTGTTTTCCTATTCTAGGATCAAATATAAGATACCATGTTATATTCAGTTATGTCTCCTGAGTCTTCTCTAATCTGTAACAGTGTCTCAGTCTTTCCTTGTTTTCCATGACCTTCACACTTTTGAAGGGTACTGGTCAGGAATTTTGTATAACGTCAGATAAGCATTTTTAAAGTCAAGACTACCCCTTTCATTCTCTTGTTCAACAAATGTCCTATTAAAGAGACAAGGCTATGGGCTACTATAGTGCACAGGAGGCAGAAGAGACTCAAGGGGATAATTGAATCCAACATTATCATTTTGTAGATATAGAAACTAAGGTACCGATAATGTTTTTCATGATAAACACACAAATACCAAACTTTTAAAATCCTGTTTAGTAAGAATAGAGAATTCCACAAGATCACTGAGAAGAACTGTGGGATACTTACTAGTGAGGATTGTAAGCAAGAAAAGATACTCGGTATACGAAATTAGCCCTGAAAGAGATAAGATAAAAACATACCAGAAAATAAGTTTTAGATGGTTTAGAAGTAAACATACAGAGACATTAAGACTGAAATTTCACCTAATTAAAAAACCATTTTTACTTTAAATTACCTCTCTTTGATACAATGGAAAATTTTTATAATAGTTGAAGTAGAGTCCTAATACTGAAAAAAAGAAACTATGCTTCATCAGGTTACCATTGCCAGTAAGGAGGTTGTGATGGCTAGTCTTAAGTGTCAGTTTGACGGGGTCACAGACCGAACATCTTGAGTACCCAGATTAAACATCATTTCTGGGTGTCTCTGTGAGATTAGCATTTACATTGGTAGACTTGGCAAAGTAGGCTGTCCTCTACAATATGGGTGGGCATTATTCACTCTCTCTTTGTTGAACAAAAAGTGCAGGAAGGAGAAATTCACCTTTTTTTTCTACCTCACTTCTTTAGCTGGGACATCTTATCTTCCAGCCTCAGACGGGAGTTTATACCACTGGCTCTCCTGGTTCTCAGTCCTCCAAATGTGGACTGAATTACACCACCAGCTTTCCTGGGTCTACAACTGGCAGATCAAGGGACCTCTGTGCCTCCATAATTGCATGAGCCAGTTCTTCACAATGAATCTCCATCTATACCTCCAATTGGTTCTGTTTCTCTGGAGAACATTGACTAATACAGAGAAAGAATGGATGCCGGCTAGCAAATAATTGGCATCCACTAGAAGTTCTATTTGCGTGGCATTTTATGTAATTTCTACTTAAATTTTTACTATTCATAACATCTCAAGTGAAGCAAATTTATAAATTTAGCAGAACAACGGACTTGGAATACTGAGAGTCAAATTATATTATTTAAAATGTAGCAATTAATTTGTTGTAGCAGTAACTTGATTTTTCCTTTGGGAAATCATTCTTTGCCAGTCTCAAATATGCAGTTTGGGTAGGATGACCCTACATTTGCCTCTGCAAGTAAATGCTAATTGGCCAAAGCCAATCACTGCATTTCTGTGGAACTGATGTAGGGATGGGCAAGTAGCTCAGGCCAAGGTAACAAGCAGGTTGCAACAGTCTTGAACCAGGGACTGGCTTAGGGATGGGCTATCACCTAAGTTGGGCCACTCAGAGTACAGCAGGATTTCTGATGCAAATGCTGGATTACTGACTTCTACATTTTTATTTTGTGCTGGGCTTTGGTGATGTGAGAATGTTATTCTCAGGAATGTGAGAAAATAGAGAGTGTGCCTGGAACTGCCAGAGGTCAGTATTTAGAGTTCAAGAATGTAGCCAATCTTTAATTGCCTGATCCAGAAAATGAATATGGTGATGTTTGTGCCCCGGATGAAGTTGGGTGTGAAGCTAACTCTGTCCAGTCACTAAACTTTCTTGCTTGCTCAAGTACATTGTGTCAGGTTTTATGTTGCTTACAATGAAAAAGTTACATTAAACATAGAAATGATATCTCAAAAACATGGCTTCCTGATAAACTAAAAACAATTGTTCTCTCCGGGTCATAAGATTGGTATAATAGCAAAACGCACAATTAATAATTTAAAACATTTTTTTTAATCATGGAAAATGTCAATCACACACAACAGCAGAGAGAATAATATGATGAATAATTATATAGAATTATATTAATAACACAACGAGACTCAGTGCCAATAATTGTCAACTCACGGCAGGTACTGCTTTACCTATACTTTTTTTCACTCCCTACTTCCCACTGGATTATTTTGAAACAAATCCCACATGCACATATTTCTAAAAAATTTGGGCTGCACATCTAAAAAAACCCTCCCTACCAGAGAGTTACCACATCTAACAAGTATAATTTCCTTAACATCTTCAAATTCAAATTAGCATTATCAATTTTCCTGTTTTAGATAAGTTTTCAAGTGTGTTCAAATGAGCATCCAAAGAAAGTCCTTACATTGCACTTGGTGAGTAGGTCTCTTAAATCACTTGTTTTTTAAATACTGTGGTAAAATAAATATAACATACAATTTACCATGTAAGCCATTTTTAACTGTACAGTTTGGTGGCATTAAATACACTTCACACTGTTGTACAACCAGCATTAGAAATTTTCCACCATCCTAAATAGAAACACTGTATACATTAAACGTTAACTCCTGAATCCCACCACTCATCCCCACCTCTAGCCCCTGTAACCTCTATTCCACTTTCTGTCTCTGAATTTGCCTATTCTAGGTAACTCATATAAGATTAATTATATAATATTTGTCCTTTTGTGACTGGCTTATTTCACTTGGCATAATGTTTTAAAGGTTCTTTCATACTGCAGTATGTGTCAGAATTTCCTTCCTTTTTAAGGCTGAATAATATTCCACTGTATGTATGCATCACATTTTGTTTATCCATTCACCTGCTGATGGACATTTGGGCTGTTTCTACTGTGTGGCTACAAATATTGGTGAAGAAATATTTGTCTGAGTCCCTGCTTTCATTTCTTTTGGGTATATACCCAGAAGCAAGACTGCTGCATCATAAGGTAATGCTGTTTAATTTTTGAGGAATCGCTCTACATTTTCTGCAGCAGCTGTGGAAATGCAAATTCCCACCAAATTTCTCCACATCCTCGACACTTGTGTTTTCTGTTTTTTTTTTTCAACTGCCAATCTACTGAATGCGAAGTGATATCTCAATGTGATTTTGATTTGCATTTCTCTGATGATTAGTAATGCTAAGTACCTTTTCATGTGCTTATTAGCCATGTGTATCTCCTATTTTGAGAAATTTCTATTTGAGTCCTTTTCCCATTAAAAAACGTTTTGTTATAGTTCTTTATATATTCTGGTTCTTACTTTATCATATATACAAATATATATGATCTGAAAATATTTTCTCCCCATTTGTGGATCTTTTTTTCACTCTCTTGACAGTGTGCTTTGATTCACAAATGTTCTTAATTTTGATATAGTCTAACTTATTTTTTAAATTCCTTTTTTTACTTTTTTTTTTTTT